CACCAGAGGGTCGAAAATGAGAGATCACTGATTTCTACTCCAAAAAATACCAATCAAGCCTTTACCCCAAGCAACCACGTCACAACTCTGGAGACAGACTTGAATTTGTGTGACATCATTTGGAATGCGATAACTATGTTTGAACTTCAATTTGATATGAGAGGTTTCCCTCCTTTGCTAATGTTTGAAATTATGTATGGTCTCAAGTCAATGGCTTTTCGTGGGATGGAGTCATCATAGATGGTAGCATTCAAGGCAATTGCCACTATTGCATTTTGAATGGAGCCTAACAAGCCCATCCTTTAGAGGGTGAAAACTTTTATTTGGCATAAGCTGGAGGCGCTGAAGAAAGGGTCCTTGTTGACCTATTTGCCCAGTGAATCCAAGTCAAACTATAGATGAAGCGTTCAACAATGATGACGAAGTAAAGCCTTTGCGGTAGGAGTGTCAACAGCTCGAGAACATGACTCTTGGGCCCGTCACAATGTAATAAATGACATCTTTTGTGGTGGAAGCACTTGATGAATATCATGAGAGGCAGCGTAAAATCGGCGAGCTTGAGGTGAAGGATGACTTGAGAGTCGAAGTCATCAATTGCCTTTCCGAAAAGGGGTCTTGACCTCCAATCGTCAAAGAAGAGAGCTCCGCCAGTACTACCCGTCACCCGTTAAGGAGCTGCAATGTAGGGACATAAATCCCATATAGGATTTGATTGGATTGAGAGTAGAGTCGTTGGATTCGATGACAACAACATGCTTGCAGCTTTGGGCTATGTGGAATGGACTTTTTAACAATAATTGTTAGTGAAAAGACATAACTTGGAATTGTGTTGCTTTTTCCACAACATTTTCATGATGGTTGTAGTGCCTTGAGTGGCACGGATTCAAGGTTTTCATTGTCACTGTTGGTGACATGATGTTGCTGCAATTCATCTGGACTTCCCATGGAAGATCATGGCGATGTTCAGTGGGCAATACATGCATTATACACCACTATGATGTGTAAGATGTGACTGGATGTTATGTGAGAGATTTGATCGGATTTGTGCGGTCCAGGGGGGCAATCCGGAGATTGGACTTTGAACACTAAAATGATTTGATGTGCATGACAAGAGGCAATTCAAGATTTGAGCATTTTTTCTAGAGCAACATTTTCCCATTCAATATCGCAACTACTGGCATAGAGCCTTGGAATCCTGGTGCGCTTCTGACACATGTGCGATGTGCGCGGGCTCACGCAGGACATGGAGACTGAAAGTTGGGATTGATTTTTCTTCACTACATACATTCAACATAATACATGGGGATTTTATTATTCATCCAGCTCATTGCATTTCATGGGACTATAGGGTGTGGCGGCATGGGACCATGAATAATCGATTCCGAACATACTATCTGCTTGGTTTTCACGCCTATCATCGCCCACCAGGTGCACCAACTGTGTTATGTCAGCTTGTGACGAATGTAATCCACGGATTTTGATGATGATCTACTGGCTGCAAGGTGAGCAATAGAACATGTTGTCCAAATTTCAAGTGTAGCCAAATAGTCTACAATATCTTATGTGCATATCCCATGCGACCCAAGCATGGGTTTACAAAATGTTTAGTTGCCAATGTTCTATATGTCCCATGCACTAGGTCCAATTCCCAAGAACCCCAACGACGTGCCAACACTAAGAGAGGGTGCCAATCGGCACCAAGTGATGGGCAAATCTGAATGGGGTGGGATTCGGCTCATGAGGTGTGCGCACTAATTGGGGTGTGCCAAGATAGCTTGTGCTATCTACGACACAACCTTCAAGCACCTGTGGCTATAGAGTCATCCGTCACAACCCACATGGCAGGAACTGAGGTAGATGTGAGAATGATTGTGGGGTAGGGGGATAATGACTCATGCATCCAGGGCCACCAGGTGCCCCAGGCAATTCAGAGACTCTCACCTGCGGTTGGGACTGGTTTAGCCATGGAAGGGCTTGATATCCAGACAACTTTTGGCTGCAGTGCAGGCACCAAACGATTTTGTGGGTTGCATAATTCTTCTTGAAACCAGCTTAGGCGTTACTTTATTGCTTGCCCAACATTTTCTTCACATTATTACGCTCTTTATTGTCGATCCACCAAATGACTACATGTTATGTTACGGAGCAAAGGGGTATCATGTATTATGGTAGACCATTTGTGACTCAGTGCATCTTCTTTGCACTTGTTGGCAAGAGTCTCTAAAACCTTAATTTGGGCAATTGTTCATCTTGAGAAAGAATGCAATATTCCATTGCATATTGTTGTCAACTTGAGCTACTTATGCTGTTGTGGAATCTATTTGAGTGGTCACATTGTGGGCAATATGTAGACTTCGAGCTTGAGGGTGATGATGTGACATTACTATGACACATGGACTGAATGGATAGCCATAAGGGGCAGTGTTTGCCTAGCTCCGTTGCCTCCAGCTCGTTCCTAGACCACATCCGCCGGTCAACTTACCCTACAGTGAACCAATCAGCAATGTCTCAGGGGAAGCATTTGCAACACTAAATCCAATTATTGTCCAAGATCCCAGATTGCAAATCCAAGTATTTTTGAAGTTATCCTAGTTGCCATTGTTGAGGATGTCGGAATTATCTATGAAGATGAGGACGTCCCCAATGGTCACCAATAGGCAAAACAGAAGGCCTTCGTGGTTCATGTGAATGCACAAGAAAAACGCTAGATAAACAGGCATGGACCAAGAGAATGAACAGAATTGAACTCCAATTATTTTCAGCATTTTGTGCTAACATATGGTGGCACGTCAAAAACTCAGTTTGGGCATGTGTTTAAAGAAAGCGCTAATTTGAACAGCACTAGAGGCAATGATGAATTCCAGTTCTTGTGGGAATGTTGTTCTGCATGCCATTGCCCATCACCGTACTTTACCCGCACTATATTTTAGGATAGATCACTGCCTCCAAGCTTGTTTCCCGTTTGCGCATTACCCAGACATGTACCCATACTCAATGCTTCTTGACTTGACAGCCTGCTGCATTTCACAAAGAATGCATGCAAATAGTTTGAGCCAATCTTTGCTTGCTCTCTCGGTGATCTCTCCATATCTAAACCATTCCAATAGAAGTGTTGGCAATATAGTATTCAAGCACTGGATGATCCCCTCCTATGCTTGAGCCAAGTGGCATATAATGTCTGCTAGAGTTGCCTCCCCATGGGGTGATGTGTGCCCAATACCTGGGCGCACAGTGGCAGGTAGCTTGAAGGGCATATACGATACGTATAGTGGCAACACTCATTCTCCTAGCTAGAGACAATCTTTTCCTTAGGAAAAGCACTGTGTCGATTTTGGTATGCTTAGCATCAATTCGACGCTTGGAAAGCGTGCAGGCGTGCGTGCATGTGTCCAAACCTATTGCACCCCAAGATGTTATACTATTGCCACAAAATCGATATAAGGTGAAAAAATGCCCAAAGTGCCACTGATCAGCAGTAAACAACTCACAACTTGTTTCTGAGGCTTCCTCACTCGTTCATCTTTAAGGAACCCCTTAGAATACATCAGCTAACAGCCATTGATGCTGCCCAGCTCGCTCAACATGGCTTGTAAACTATCACTTCTTAACAAAATGAAATCAGTACAACTCTGACCGTTTTTTTGGTCAAAAACTCCTGGAAGTTGTATGCTGCAATTAGGTAATGTTGCTGAATGGCCCTGCCATCGACACAAGGATTGAACCTAAGCGGGGGGAGGGGATGGGGGCTTAGTTCATTGTCAAATTGACGCCAAGCGTACCAGAATCGACATATTGCCTGCCTTACTTGAATATCCTCCTTGGATCCATCCTCATAAGAAGCATCCAAGGCCCCCTCCACTAACGTACAGCTGACTCAGCTGTACGTTGGTAATTTGTAATCATTGAAATGTACAGACGAAAGGCTGCCATGTCTAGAGAGGTACACACTGCGGATTATGACAACATTCCCAACGATGCATTGCTTCGGCAATCTGGACGAAGTTGCAGCACCGTTCGTGGGCCTCACTGCAACAAGATTGTTGATGTGGTCCCTATCACTGTTGTTGCAATGCCCGTAAACCCACATCGTGTGATTCATGTGTGCAACGATGACCATGACTTGATGCACTTGACAATTGATATGTTGTTATATTTCATGCCACGTTAGCATCCATGGCATCAAGGGCACCAATGCTGATGGCGCATTGATGTGCAAAGCTTGTAGCAAAACTGACGGGGAAGTGCATCAGCAAATTCATCGCAACAAGGCCCATCAACGTCGCTGAAACTCCATCCCGATTTCTGAGGTTCAGATGTACAATTAATGGCAGGACACAATGCTCCATTCCTGAACCAGGAATCCTGATGTGCAAGTGTGCACAGGACGATAAAGGTTCCAAACGTTTGGAACAATAATGCAACCATAGGCATCGCCAGAATACCCACATGTGCATACACCCCTACCCCACCCCTACCCTTTTGGTTGCAGCTTCTCACCCTGAGAAGCAGCCTAGAGGACCCTTACAGAGCCAGTTTGTACTAAGGCTTACCAATCCCGCAGCTCCGCACTTCATGAGCTCAGGACATCTAGGTTACTCCCATGGACTTTTGCATATCGATCACTCTGCGGATGTGACGAGTTATCCCCAAAAGTGCTGCCGCATAGATCAGTTTCTTGAGCTAGCTTTGCCCCTTTACTTTCCACTTTCCTTCTTCACACTCCTACACGCTATTCAACGTCACCCGTAGCATAGTTGTCTTGCTATTCCATGCTTCTCCAGCAGCAGCGGATTACGTACTAAGCGCCTGTGGGCTAGTACATTGCATGCATGCAATGTACAATGTGTTCACACCAGAACCCCACCATCTGCCTGGACAACAAGTGACTCACCCACTGAAAGGTGGCATTTACGGGGCGCCGTGAGCAGCAGGACAAAACTTGAAACGACACTGCATCAATCCAACAGCTTTCGCTGTGGCCCACTTTGCGCACAAATGCCTCAGAACAGCTCTCCTGCAGAGCGTGCCAGCACTTCCGCAGTCGCCATTTCGCCCATGAGCTTCTTCCGATCAAAAAATACGCCGCAGTCGAGGGAGCGGCAGGAGATGCCGCCATCGGCCCCACCGGCCCCGCCACAGCTCAGGCAGACCCGCACGAGCTGGGCGTGGAGGCGCTGTAGGCGGCTAGCCCTCGCCGTCAGGACGCCCAACGACAGCTGGGGGTCCTCGATGCAGCGGGGGCACACGGCCTGGTGCGCGTACGTCAGGCCGTCACACACCTGCAGAGCAGCAGGGGCGTCAGTGCTATCCAATCATTGAAACGGCTATGCTGACTGCACTGGGTTACTGATTTGTGTAGCATAGTACAGTAGCTGACTCAGTGTACTACTACACTATTATGGTATATTATACTATATTATAGTATTATACTGTACTACAGTACAGTTCTCATAGGCAATAACTACCGTGAAGTGCGAATCACACAAGGAGGTAGATGCTAGTTTCCTGTTACGCCCAAGATGTGCAGCGCCGAAGGTCTGCTCACGCGAACCCATGGTGCTGTTGTAGCGATGCATTCTTGGAGTCCGTTGTGAGTGGGTTCCTTGCCCCTTGAAACTTGCTGTTGAGCACTATTGAGCAACCATGTAGTTGCAGATTAGAGCTAACGTGGCACAAGCTGCACGTTGCAATTCATCGCGCACCACCAAGAGAAATACAGCACAATGTGTGGGCCGCGATACACAGAGGACACTGCACCTGCAGCAAAGGACGCCAACAAGAATCCACCAGCAAATCCCGACTTCGAGTTCTGCACGGCGTGCGAAGATTTGTGCATGACTCGGTCAGAGGCAGCGCTATGCGCCATTTCATTCTGTGGTCTTCGACTAGCACATTCTGGGGCCCTTGCGCCATCTTGTGGTATCGTAGTCATATACGGTGGCCTTTTGCCGACCATACCACAAAACTGGCCCTCCCACCCCTGCTGACCACGCCGACGCCGTCCCCCACCTTTAGCCCCTTAAATGCCCCACCCAGTGCCCAAGACTCCACCCTAAAGCCACATACTGGGGCGCACGGGTAGCTACAAACAAATGGAACATGTAGAGCTCAACCAGCTTAATTGGAGCTTTTCCTAATTGTACGGAAAGGCCAGAGATACACGATTATCATGGAATTGTGACAGTGCTAAAATTTATGCAAATTGTACATATTACATTATACCATGAACACAAATTAACAGCAGAAATAATAACAGCGGTACAGGCACAATACATTATGACAACAAACGCTGCATTGCTATAAAATACACTTGGTTGTTTATTATCACATGCCACATCGTCCAACCATGAAAACCAAGACTCAAATGCTAGTCGATCTGGCACAAAATGCACTGGCGCATTGGCTAAACGACGCCAGAACACACCTGAGACTGTCCCATTCAATCCCACTAAAACGCAACCCCACTACAACGCAGCGCACACTGCTGAGAACAAATTATCGACTTGTCGCAGTCTTTTGACTTTTGACTTCTGATGCACCTTTGCAAAAACATCGAACCAAACACAACAGGACACAGAAGAAACAATAGAACAACTCAACTCTGATCTTCAATTACCGCCGAATTCAACCCTGATCAAACGCAGCGCAAGCCTTGTCCCGAAGGACAGTCATTTGCCGTTGGCAGCCAGAGGCCAGCTCACCGCGCAGTGCCTCGACAGGTAGTACGAATCGATGGTCGCCCCATGGCCCTCCCCCTCTGACGGGGCCCCCAGCGGCAGCGCCCACTGAGGCCGCTTCTGCGGCATCATCCTCATGGGCCGCGGCATCCTGGCGAACCAGGCTGCCACGTCCGCACCCACGAGGGCCATCACCCGCCCCACAGCCGGGTTGATCTGCTTGGTGATGTAGTACAGGCCATGCAGGCGCAAGGTCCCGCGGGAGTCCACCAGGGCGTGGGGCGCCACGACCATGTCCACCAGACGGGCGCCGGGCTCGCCGTAGATGACGACGTAGGGGATGCGCTGGGCGTGGCGGGGCTCTGCGCGAGGGTCCACGGACATCGCCTGGGCGATGGAATGACTCGTTCAGCAAACCGTTTGTTGTGAAGCGTTTACTAAAACATTTTGTAGCAATATTATAGCCATTTTGCAGCGTAGTATTGCATAGGTAGTACTATAGCACTATATATAGCATTGCACTGTTTCGCTTGCAGCAAAAGATTTGGAAATGCACAGGAATTGGGTGGCGGCAGAGTGCGGATCCACGTTGTGACAATTAATCAGTCCAAAACTCGATCCATCAATCAATTCATCCAGATATCAATCACGAGATCAATCACAATATCATGAAAATAGTCATGAAAAATGGCCAGTCATCAGTAGCAAAAAAGCCAAGAACATAGAGCACAATAGCGAGCCGGTGTTATGTACTTCTCCGCCATCTAGCAGGGGCACAGCTTTCGTACCTTTGCTGCCACAATTGCGGCTGGCGGTATGGCGCCCGCGGTGGCGCTGTAGCTGCCCATGCGCACTTCTTTGGCGAAGACGAAATCTTGCAGGGCAACGCGCCCCGACAGGATCTTCGACCATTGTCGACATAGGTACGACTTCACCTGGAGGCGACCAATTCCATCAGTACTCACCACCCGTTCAGGCACGTTTGCAGCCGGTGCCACCATTGCGTGACAACAGTTTGGTGAAATGGCGCAGTGCCAGAAGGCATGGTGTTTTGAAGAAGCGGAACACTGAAATGAACGTACGCTGTAGTTGTCATTACTTGTGAATGAGAGGGTGAGGGACAGCTGCGCGTTGAAATTGATGGGACTCCCCTTGCAATGCCCTTATTTGCTGATATGATAAGGAAATCTGGCCGAGAGGAACGCATACTCGCAATGGCTGGCGGTCAACTGCAGGTAAGAGCCAGCGACTCGCCTGGTGCGGAGATGGAAGGACCATTAGGGAGGCAGTGAGGAGATGCAAGCGTCGGCGTGGCTGTGTACAAAAGGAACACGGCCAAAGCGGTACAAGGGCAGTCAAACCCCACACGCTGGCCGAGAATAGGATTCCTTCCAGGACCGCACAATGTGGCTGCAGTGTCACGCACAAGTGCTCAAGGCATCTGAGCATGCACCAGCAACGATGCGTGTGCATCCTGCTATTTTGTGTGCTGCAGGATTCTTTTGTCATTGGTCGTTCATGAGCCAACCTTCTTCGAGACCGTGGTCTCCAATGAGTTGCAGGATGATGGTCCACGGCATCGGTTTGATGGATCAAACCAGTGCCTTGGATCATTGTCCTGCAACTCATTGACAATCCTCTGGGGATTTGCTAGGCAACTCTGTGCTGGGAAATGCAGTGCGTAGAGTGCAAAATTTGTCGATCGGCTGGCAGCCGACATGGAGTGCACGACGCCTTGTTAATACATTGACAATGCATCGATTCTCTCACCGACTATCCCAATTTCGCAAGCCGTCGACTGTGTCCATTCTGTGCATTGCGAGCCTGCCCGGGTCTTTGCGGCGCTTCAGCAACAAACTTGTGTTTCATCTGGTACAGTTATCTACAAGAAGCTCTTGCCAGTTGGTACAATTTCATCGGCTAATTTGAATTAATGGAAACAGTCATTCACAACACAGTTTACCCAGTAAATCAATAATTGCGTGAATAACAATTTACAACTCGGTGATGATCATACCTGTTAACTTTCTGCAAATCGCGTCCTACTGGAATAAACTGCATTGAAAACTGACCAAGTTTTCGTAATCTCAAACCCTGTTTCTGTCGGAGACTCACCAGCTGTTTTCACAGCGTGTCATGAGAGGTTACAGAAGTACAGCACATGGTACCAGGCAGCAATTTTGCAACTCAACTGCGGTCTGGAGGTACTGGAGGCATTGGAGGCAGCGCTCAAGCAGAAGCACCCCACTGTGGCCAGAGCAAGGGGGGATACCTGGGACAGGTCCTTCGTCGTGAAGAGAATCCTGAGCGTGCGTTCCAGGATCTTTGCCACCGCGGGACACGCATCCCTACGGATGGTCTCGATGCCCTTGGCGTCGAGAACGGGCTGCTGTTGCAATGGGTGCTCATAGCTGAACCCCACGTAGCGTTTCTTCGTCTGAAGCACGCACGGCTGATAGACCTGAAGCAGAGAAGCAACGCGATTTATCCCTGGCCGTTGTCAGGCAGGAGTGGCGGGAGCCCGTCGACGACAGGCAACAAATAGCGAAAGCAAATGCACCAAGCAATGCGCAGGAAGGTGCAGAAAAGTTGCAAACCTGCTAGACTGCTAGACTGCCAGACTGCCAGACTGCCAGTCCGAAAAGCAGAACAGTGCACAGCAGTGCAAGGCAGCAATGCTGCGCCTGTTGTGCATGCACGCAGGTAGCCTGCAAGCTGCAATGCCATTCCCTCACATGGATGGAACAATGATCAGGGACATTTGCTAGTACAGATGCGCGTTTGCAGACAAGCATGTGGAAACAAAATAGCCAGGGCAACAGGCAAGAAATGCACACTGAGCACTACATGCAACGGACGTCAGCACCGCCGGATGAGCCCCAAAGCAAGCACACGCCGCTGTGCAAATTAGCCACTAGACAGAATTTCTGTTCGTGTGCAAATAATGCTGCATTTACAAAATCGAACTAATTCACGGCGATCATCACATATCCAACAATGACCGTTTCTACTCTATCAATAATCAGTGCGACTCGTGCATCAACGTAACCAGACCGTTTGATTTTGCCCACTTGTGTGGTGCACTGCTGATTACCAATCAGACAAAATTACCCGTGTCCAAGTGCATGTGTCAGCTAATTTTTCGCTGTGGCAATCCTAATGTTCTTGCCGTTCGCGAGCAAACAGGAAGCTCACCAGAGTTTTCAGTTGGCAGCGGCTGTTTAGTGACGTATAGCATGGAGCCCTGTTTTGCAAGCCGGCCACAATCCCAGGGGAAATGGGCGGGGCCACTTGGCCATCCATGAGTTCGCACCTTCTCTAGCTTCAGCTTGATGGGAGAGGGGTTCGCGCTCGTGACAGCAGACACAATTTCCTGCCCGATCCTGAAAGCCTCCTCCCGCGACCTGCCTTCCAACAGGACGAACAGCGAGTCCGTGTCTCCGTACACCACCTGCATTTGAGAAAACAGCACTTTGCTGCAACCCCGTTGGGCACGCTTTTTATGGGAGTTGAGAAGCAATGCCGACATGCTGCCAAACATTCTTCAGCCAATCAAATAGGTATATGTCGAGTAAGCCTATGTCGAATGTGACTGACTACGAGCATAAGCAACAAGCACAATTGACAAGCGTACATGTAAATAAAATATGTGGATAAATAAGGTAATCTGTGGCTCTGCGCGCACTGTGGTACCCTCGTCACTTGCGTGGTACTCATGCACAGCCAGGTGGCGTTTGAGCTGATCTCGGTTTGCGTGGCACAGTGTGGCGCACAATCGAACGTTGAGCAGCGTTTCAAGATCGCGGTGTGGATGTACGGCTACAGTGATATCGTTGATGACCCAAAGGCACATAATCAGGTCGCATCACAATCGCGTCGCAGGACAGAGAAGAATCTCAAATCCTGCCACGCGAGTCAAGTGGTCTGCCGCCATGCAGAAATACACCATACACACGCACACATTGGAAATTTTCCTTCCCACCGTTGTTTCTGTTCTGGAAATTATATGGTCGAGTTGAGTTGAGCAAGCATTGTCAAACAAACGCTTTCAATGGAATTGTGCATACCATCGCCTTCGAGTTGCGTGATGCAGTGCATCGTCGGGCTAAGGCAAACTAGCCAATAAATTGTCCCTGTTCGCCCTCACAACGTTGAACAAGACGCCTTTAGCAGCCTTTCAAGAAGCACATATGCAACGTACTTCCGCATGCTGCTAAAAATATTGGCGAAGAAGTGATATCAAGAAGATACTGTGCCTTGTAGTGGCAGTTGTAATAGACTACTCCCCAATACTTTTCTCATACTCAAGGCAAGCTTCAAAGTACCATTGTGAGTCAACTCCTATGCCGAATTCTCCCTAAATTCTCCCTTTAAAGGGCATGCTCTTTCCACTAGGGAAAAAAGGGCCAAATAACACTTTTGTGAACACACATAAAACGCATTTCATCAAAGTTCTGAACGCTAAGAACACAAAAATAACACAAACCCGTAAACTTTGTACACGTTTAAACACATGTTATATTTGACCCTTTTTTCCTAGTGTTCAATGTGTCAGCAGTGAAGCTCATCACATGAAACCCCTGTGTGTGCGCGTGTGTGCGTGCGTGTGTGCGTGCATGTGTGCGTGTGTGATGCATGTGTGCGTGCTTGCATGCGTGCATCTGCGTGCATGCATTTCTTGCCAACCAGTAAATTAACAGTTTCCCAGCATTTGTTCAGAATTCTTATTGTGCGAAATTGTCCACAATCTTAAATCAGTGGGGTGGACTGCGCGTCAAAACAAAGCAAATCGTGAAATGCACTCTTGGTGCCTTTTGATGCACCTTCTTCACCGTTTCATACATTCATTCATACATTCAACGTTTTCAGTGTACAATGCATGCCTAATAAAATCCGTGGATCACACACTTTTTGCACTTTGTTGTACATCCAATACGTTTTGGATTTCACGTTAATACAACATTTTGTGCATTTTGTATTTCATATACTCTATGTTCCATGCGTTTTCAAATGCACAAAATCATGCGGTCGCCTGCTGTCATATTTTCCACATCACACTGGGACGCCACATTTGATGCCACTGCGAATGCTGCTGCATCGCTCTTCACACCCTTGGATTGAGCACCTTACACCAAATATGGCGTGAATGTGATATGAACAAAATGCGAAAGCAATGCGAATATAGTACGAATGTAATGCGAGCACAGCATAAAGACAATTGAACACACAAACATGTCGCAGCATAAGTACAACAAAACAAAAGAAGCACGAACAGAAACACACGAAAAATACCCAATGTATCATAATTATCAACACAAAAGAACACAAAGAAGCCCGAAAAGAACACAGAGAAAGAGCACAATGTATCAAAACTTACAACACCACATATACATTCACCTTGGCCTTCCAGTCCCTGTGCGCCTCCACCATCTTGATGGCGTTCTGCAGGGTCTCCCTTCCCGACTGAACAATGGCGTCCGCCAGCTCCGCGAATGGCATGCGCCCCGAAAAGCCCGCCGAAGTGTAGCCGTATGTCACGTTGGCGATCATCTTCAGGCCAAACTGCCGGGCGTTCAAGCACCTCAGCAGCACCTTCGAACAGGAGCAGGCAAGGGAACTCGGTGGCCTTTCAACGGGTTCGGTCTCCTGTTCTGTTTTGGAGATGGGAGAGTGTTTATTGCATACTTCCTCCATCCCATATTAATTGTCGACTATGATTTTGTGGCATTACTTCTCTATTGTGCCTACATCAGTTTTCAAAGAAATCTACCCGAAAGTTGTGCTTGTGAGGTTGGAGTATATTGTCAAAATTTCGAGTCAATCCATTAGGTATTGAGGATTTGCAGCGACGTTCCAGAGCCAGATTTTTTGGCCATGGCTTTTCGAAATCCTTTGCTGCTATCAATGCAACTATCAGGTGCAAAGGCTGTGTTTTGCCATTTCATGGTAATTGTAATCGATGGATTCTGATGATGATGATCAAGGCAACTGAGGGGGGTCTCCCAATTCTTTTAACAAGGGGCCAGAGATCGTAATGGCTATCACCCCGATATAGCACGAATAATTAGTGTATTGGGCATTGCTACGGAAACGGCGATTTGTTTTTGTTTTGGGGGGCAGTTCACAGAGGTGAGGACTAATTTTTTTCTTGAAAATTAGCACTTAAGGGTTCTGAGACCCAATCTTTCGAATTCTGGCCTCCATTTGTAATTTAGATGTGGTTTTCGTGATGAGATTTCTCCTCAAATAGACGACAATTAATATGGGACGGACGGAGTTTGGAAATTGTTGCTTGTCCTGGAATGGTTTACACATTTCATTTCATGTCGCATGTCATTTTTTACCTACATATGAAAATTCGCTCACTTGCAGCGAAATCGTGGATGGACTTATAAACAAGTCCACCAACACAACTTCGTTCCAAAATTAGCAAGGGCACAATTGAGTTAAGAAACAAAAGGCACATTGGATAAAAAGGGGACGCCCCATCATGGCGCAGAGGGGGCACGTGCGGGGCCTAGCCACTTGCCACAAATGCGAATATATGAATCTAAACGTCATAGACAGGTTCTGGCGCCTGTCTTTTCATGACATAATTCATCATGTGTGATGCAACTTGCATAACATACCGGTGGACGCTCGGCATGTAGCATATTCACGTGACAGGGAGATTACTATCAACATTAAGCACATCATCGAAGCCCATTGTTGTGAGTTGAAGCACACTCTGATATGACGATCTAGAAGACTATGAAAGATTTGACGAACAATCTGATGGAACGAAATATGGAAATTGAAAAGGACAACATCAATACTTACAAAAACACACATTGCTTGCACAACCATGCTCGCTCGAGTGGTGCACATGCACACAAACTTTTGCTGCAATTGTGTGCCAAACCCCAAGAAACTTGCACAACTGGCACCCGAGACCCAAAAAAACACCCACCCACAACCATTTTTTTTGAGCAAGAGCGAGTGCCAAAGCTGCACTCCAAGACGCCCGCCTGAAGGATGCCAACACATCTTTTTGAAGATAAAAGTGATGGTAATCGACCCCTTGGGCTGATTGCCACAAACGGAATTTTCAAACTTAAGCTTTTGCCCACAACCCCACCCCCACCTCCCAACGCCACTCGCTTCCAGTCGGCAGCCAAGGAGGCACCTCAAAGAGCTGCAACGAGGCGCAAGTCCGGGGAAGGGCGGTGGGTGCCCGGCTGCACAGGGCGCAAGGCAGTCTGG